TTTTGTTGTTTCATAATTTGTAGTAGGATGTGTGAGATTATTGCCTACATTTGGTTGTCAAAAATGACATGTTCAACTATTGTGTTTCTTGTTTATTAAGGGATAGTTTTACCTCATTTCCCTCACGATAAACCGCAGATAGATCAACTTCCCTGACACGGTTCGTCAATACCTTAGTTCGAATAAATAATAAACCACCGGGCAGAAGAAAGGCAGTCACATCTGAACAAATTGGTGACAAGCAAAGAAAGGAAAACCGAAACAATGAAAAGGCTCTTGGCCACCGCATTTGCTAATGGCGGAACTGAATGATATGGCGCCTGGAAGGAGTAAGGACAAAAAAAAAAAGAAAAGGATCGTCTCAGCAGCACATTAATCAAGGTGCAGTCAATGCGAACGGAGCCTTTGGCCATGCGGTGGCAAGAAGGAAGCCAAATTGGCAACAGACGCTTAAGGTAATAGACGTGCCAACGAAGTCGACCCTGTGGGGCACGTATTCGCCCATGTAGTTCTTCTGGCGGAGAACGCAGCTGCTTATTTGGTTTGCTGTGCGTGTCGCTGGCACAATGCTCGTAAATAATGTCGTGGCTAAGACAAAAGCCATAGCCAGTCAACAGTCTGCCGTTGACACCGAGAACTTATTTTCCAGCCAGCTCTTTTAGTTTTCCTTTGCCCACTCGCTTGGGTTGGCACTTTTTCTAAAGGGTAATCCTAGCTTACGAGGGTGTATAGCTTTCGTTTATAGATACGTGACAGGTTAAAATAAATTAAACGGCAACATACTGTACTAATTGTATATTAATATGAGTCGAACTTTAAATGAAAAGAAGTGGAAAATTAGCTACTAATTTGGTTAAAAATCTGAAGAGTTCTGTGGGCAAATGAAAGAACTAAACAATTTTTGATTTATCATCATTTTTGGGTGTTCTTTAAACATTTGAAAATGTTTACTTATCTAAACTAAAAATTAAATTATTTATTTTTTTTGCTATAGTTTTATTTTTAATCTAACGATAACGTTACGGTATTTTAGAGTTGAATAAAGTGATTGTTTTTTTATTTTTCTCTGGTTTCTGCATTTGTCTTTTGTCTTTTTGTTACCTTCATTTCGGTTCTAAGGCACGCAGCCAATCAGCTATAAGACCCAAAACGCTTAAGCTTTCAATTTTCGTAATGGCCGAATAGTGTGTGAAATCCCGATAGGTGTCTTTGGGTTGTCCCTTTTTGGGTTGCTTAAACAAGCAACTGGGAAGCAAAAAGGTAAGCTATTTTTAGAAATATTTTTAAAGAAAATGTATCGATTATATAAATGGTTTTTAAGGAAAAGGCTTGTGAGATGTTAATTGTCCAATTACAATACTAATATTTCGATTAGAACCTAACACATATCTGCCTTTCTCCTGGGATCTTAAATATATAAAAATCTGTTGCATTTATAATATACATATCTAAAGCGAATTATATTCCCGTAGAAATTGTTTTGATCCCATAACGCACCTAGCTCGCAAATCGATTAAGATAAATCTCTTGCTGACATGAATATTGAATTCGAACGAGTCGCTATCAATTTGCTATTAAACGATGATTTATTTTAGCCATGCAATGTGGCGACTAACCTTCCCCCAGAGCAGAGCAATCAACAGCCAGATCCCACAAATCTGGATTCGTAATGTGCATATTTTAGCAATAAAACGCTGACACTGCTCCAGGCGCGTAGTCACTGTCAAAGTAATTTGCATACATCTTCTTGTCGGTTGCTATTTTTGCTCGGCTTTATCTTTGGGGGCCAATTTCGCGAAATGGGAAAAGGGGGACTCTGTTCCTGTTGTCACCTTCAACCCCAGTATGCAAATGTACGAGGTTTGTCTATTGTCGGTAATATTTCGTCTTGGGTTGAGTGGCATAAATCTCATATCGGCTGAGTCTCGGAAATCCACACATGTTGGCATGATGAATGCCAACTCATAAACAGACGGCTTGGCCGAGCAGACACTGAGGAATGGTAGTCGCATAATAAGCCAGACAGCCGGAAAAATGCAGATTCATCGCCAGATACAGATACGGATACAAATGCAGATGCTGCTGTATTTCAGAGGTGTTTGCGCACGGAGATTCTCATTTCGCATGCAAGTTGCATTCATTTGAATTTCTATTTGTCTGATTCGCTTCGCTGGTGACAGATTTTTTTTGCCATGGTATTATGATGTATGTGGCACATGTCTTCATTATTCTGGCATTCCTAATGAAATTGCATGGACCGATACCTTATTGTTGGTTCTGAAAAATGGAACAATCTTATTTTGTATAAATTGCTTTACCATTTCTGAGATTCGATTTTATTCCCCCAATTTACCTTTAAGTGATTTACCATAAAACATGAAACACAACCGACCACAATTATTGCTCCCATAGACGAGGGCTTAACTTTTTTGTGCTTTATTGGTTAACTCACTAAACACCGAAATTGGTTTGTTTATCTCGCATGGGCCTTCACTTATTCACAGTCGAATCAATTTAGAACTTTTCTGTCAATCACAAACCAATCAGAGTACAAAATATGAGTGCAATCACACCAGGCCAATTGTGGGTCGTTTTAGTACACTTAGGAGTGCACTTAGCGAAAATAAATAGGTGTTTAACGCTTTTAAAAAAAAATGCTATAATGCTATATTTATTCGTAGAGAGTCAAAGCAATATACTGGCTTATCAGTAAGAGCGTTTGCTCATAAATGTATCTTAACTATATCATTTAATATTTTTTATCTCTATTTAAACAAATTTAAATAATTAAACTTTCCGATTAATAGAAAGTAAAAAAACCTTATATTTACCTTAAAAAAAACATTTCAAGATGATGTGAGTTTTGGGGTTAAACCATTTTTCCCAATGCAAAAAATATGCTAGTAAAGTATAGTTTAGCTGTTTAAATGAAATAGTGCTACAAAACGTTTTATTATTGGGGATTTAAATGTTGGAATTGACAGTTTAGACGAAAAGTGCTAAATTAGTATGTTTAGTGTGACTATCAATTTTATAATGACATTGAACTCAAGAACCCACAAATCGAAATATATAAATTTTATTGTTATATATTCAACATGCAAGGGAATTGCAATATATTTATTCCAATATTATTTCTTTAATATGTGCCAGAGTTGGCACTAAAAACTATGCTTTGATATGATAAAATGATGTCCCTATATTTTGAGGTCAGGACACTGAACAAAATCGTTCTCACCCTTTTTCCTACATTTTAAGCTGAGTGGAAACGATAAGATTTTTTCCCAGTGCTGGGACAGGGGCTCACTGTGGCCTGGACGGCGCCATCAAGAGCCAGCCAGGCGGTGCTCGACTGGCAGCTGAATAAACAGCATCGACAACAACTGCAAGGGATCGGATGGGGAGGCGATGGGGGCTGGAGGGGATGTGGCCATGCTGAATACCGTTTCATCGACACTTTTTCATTGAATTCAATTAAAAGCGAAATTGAAAATTGAAATTCAATTAAGATGCTATAAATACGCCAGTTGAGGGTGGCAGGGTGTTAGGGTGATGGGGTGTCAAATGGGAGCAGAGACGATACAGGATACAGTAAAAGCATTCCCGGATAGAAAGGACTCACACCAATGATGATAGATGAGCTGCCAATGGCTGGTAGATGTTGATGTGGATGTGGTAGTGGATGAAAGAGATTCCCAGTGGTCCTGCCCCATCGATCGATGTATTTGTCGAGGAAGAGGAAACGAGGCTTATGATATGTGACATTTCATTTTTTTATTTTAACTTACTCTTTTGTCTGTTCTTTTTCCTGACATTTAATGGGCCATCAACACGTTGCTTACTCAATTTGATATCGGGGTATTAATGACAAATAAATTGATGCTGCAATCAATCAAAATGGAGCTGCCATATGGTGCACGAGGATAATCAAGTCTGGGTGCACAGTACACTAATCTGATTAGCCTCATTAGAAGACAACAATTTAATAATGTCATATTGGGCTTCATTATTTCTAAGAAATATTGTCTTTAAACCACAAAATCAATTTTTATACCCTTGCAGAGGGTATTATAATTTCAGTCAAAAGTTTGCAACGCAGTGAAGGAGACATTTCCGACCCTATAAAGTATATATATTCTTGATCAGCATCACCAGAAGAGTCGATCTAGCCATGTCCGTCTGTCCGTCCGTCGTCCGTCCGTCTGTCCGTCGTCCGTCTGTCCGTCCGTTTCACGCAAACTAGTCCCTCAGTTTAAAGCTATCTGCGAAACTTTCCCAAAAGTTGTCTTCATTGCAGGTAGTATAATCGGAACGACCGGATCGGGCCACTATATCATATAGCTGCCATATAACTGAACGATCGGAAAAGCCATAACTTTGGTGTTTTAAAGTTAGGAAGTTGGGATTTTCTATAGGTTTTATTTTTGGCCAATCAATCCGACCACTAAATTTCATAAGGATCGGCCGACTATATCTTATAGCTGCCATATAACGAACGATTGAAATGACATAACTTGGTGTTTTTAAAGTTAGGAAGTTGGGACATTTTATGAGTATTAAGAATACATCATATGAATAATTTTGGACAATATAATTTATAAAATATTCTGCAAGGGTATATCAACTTCGGCTCCGCCCGAAGTTAGCTTTCCTTTCTTGTTGTTTTATAAAGCATGTACTATTGGACAAATTAAAAATAACAAATTTGGAAAATGCTTAAATAAATGCTACTCAAATAATTTAGATTATGTGAAAAAACTATGGAAGCTTAGGTATCGAAGTTAATTTTTTACATTTTACTCTTAAGCATTTACTCTTAATTTAATCTATTTGTATGATTCATTTTTGTAAATCCTTTTAAATATATTTTTAGCACCATTTAATGTCTACAATCAGATTTTCCTTTATTAATTCAAGTTTAAGCCCAACATATAATCCTTTAATCTTAAAGTCGTTTTTAAGCATAACTTTTTTAGACGGCTGCTGCCTTTAATTAACGCATTAGGTTAGAAACAAAAGAAGAACAAAGTCAGACGTTTGGCTTTATTCAGTGGAGGATGTGCAAAGAAGGCCAAGGGACTTTGCCTAACTTTCTGCAAGACTAAAGTTTCTGGGGAAGAAGGTTGAGGTCGTTTGAAACTTTGTTGGGAAAGATGGACTGCAGTGACCTAAAACCAAAGAAGATGCAACGATTGAATTTCACCAGCGGATTGGAGTCTTACTACATTTTAAAGAGTTTTCAACTTTAAAAGTGGTAAGAATTATTTGTCAAGTATGAGGTTATTTTTGAAAATTTATAGCTACATATTTGATGCCAATTATAAGGAAGCTGGTTAGCCAAAAATTTTGTTTTTGTATGTCCCTGAGTTCTGGATGCATTATTATTTCATTCTACACCTTGTTTTTCGGATTTATTAATGCGGGTACCACAGTCGATGAAGTTATATACAAAAAATGTAAGTTGAAAAAAGAAACAATTTTGTTACATTAAATTTCTCAAAATGACAGCTCTGAAAACTGATATATGGGCGAAATGGTTTAATGTGTTTCATATTGGACTGATGATCGCAGCTGCAGTTGTTCTGTTGATATCTGTTATGACGGTGAGCCAAAAATTGTTTCATCGATTCTTATTGAATTCTTAACTCTTTTTAGAAATACTCAAAGGTCGTTTTTGTATGGATGGCAATGTATATCATCCACGTGATATCGTACTATATCGTCTTCAATGCATTGGTAAACACTCGCAACCCGTTCCTTAGCAGTCCTTTGTCAACATCCATTTATGTCCTAATCAATGTGCTGACCCTGGGTAATGTCTATATATAAGCTTCCCTGATCCTGTAATTGACCAACTTTCTAGTCATAGATATATTTTTCATGATCATAGTCTTTTCATATTATTATGTAAAGAAGCATCCAGATGAATTCAGACCCCCATGTATTGACAAATAAAGCCCGTTAAAACTATTTGAATTTATTGCTGCAATTTTGATTTTTAAGGTGACATTTGATCTTTACCTTTCACTACATGTTTAGCAAGTGAGAAGAATGCTTTTGTTGTGCTAATATGGCAGACTCAATTTTCTTTAAAATTTCATTAGCATCTTGCTGGAAATTCTAGGCTAATGTTAATGAGGCCATAATACAAATAGCTTATATTGAAATTATGCAAAAAAGTTAATACTCCCCACATGAAATTCAAGAAGGTATGGCGGAAAAAGGGGAGGCCATTTCTCTTGAGTTTGACACCAACAGCTGCGAAAGTAATCCAACAGCATTGGCCTGAAACTTCCTCAATGTAAACAAATTACGTATACGCCATGTGGTACACAGTGTCACAGATAAAAATGTTTTATTTCTTTTCGGATTCGATAGAGAGCCAACAAATTTCTGCTTTATAAAATATACGAAATTCTATTGTTTAATAATTGTCGCTGTTAAATAAGGCACACAAATTTTTTGTCAAATATTTAAGCCAATTTACTGATTTGTCAAAATATCATAAATTATGATTTGCTTCTATATATCTTTGCATGTATCGTGATTTCACTTCTTGGATTATTTTTGTCTGGCATGAACATTGACTATATTCTTTATCTCTTAAATAGTAATTAAATATGGACGAAAAAGTTATAAATTTCGACAACTTAAAACATTTTGAATTGGCTCTAAGTCTTTTTATACCCTCTCAGATGTTAATTCGACCTTTTGCATACTTTCTAATGAGTACAATATTCCCGTTTATGACTCTTTGATCTTGACGACGTTGAAGCCCAGTATTGTATGCTAATTTATGGTCGTTGCAGAACCGTAACTCATTCAAACATTTTTCAAAGGAACCGATCTTGGTAAATTCTTTAAACCCAGTTATTAACATTCGTGTTTTTCTACGCCAGAAAATTTGGAGGTCGTCGGTCTAAAAACTCTCAAATTGGATGTTTTTTAAGTAGGCAGAGAAAAACTTTTTAAAAATTATTCAAATATCTTAAAAAATTGTAGAAAATGAAATTTTTTTTAGTAATACTATTTGTTCCCTTGGTTTTGGAATCTACCACCCCGGAAACAACTGGACACCCAAAATTCGATAAGGGTAAATTAATAAAATCATTAATAGTCAAAATTAGGCATTAACATTTCGTTGCAAAGCTCATGTTCTAATGAGTTTTCCTGTCTGCGGAAATTGTTCAAAAATAAGGAACTTTCAGCGCAATAGTGGTTTCTTTTGTCATTACGAAGATGAGAAAGCAGTTACGCAAAGGTTTGGAACCCCAACAAATCAATTCCCGGATTGTCTGCCAAGTTCGTACATGGTAACTAGTGAGTTTACTTTAAAGTGATAAAATTGGGTTGCAGCCTTGACCATCCAATAATAGGTAAAATAAGCAAGTATTGCTGCTTTTGGTCGGCGGAGTTGGGTTGTTCAGCGCTCATTGGAAGGCAACTCTACGACAAAAAGAACGACTACTGCGGAACGTGCAAACGTCATTGCATTGGATTAAAGCATGAAGATTTGGGCATGGACGGAAATAATAGAATATCGGGATATAGATATTTGATTGCGCTTGCTTTTTTTGTAGTACTCGGAATGTGTTAAATTTGACGAATAGATCACTTTCAGTAGTTCCATAATCATGTTCAAATAAAATTCTATGTCCTCTAATCACAATGTAATTTTAGACATGATTTGTATTTATTCAGAAAGAAAACCAGTAAAACTGACTTGAGAATATAAAATTTTAAAAAATTGTATTTTTCACCTAGGTACCCAAAGGGATTTCTCTCAAAATTGTCAAAAAGAGTTTTCAAATTTCCTTAAATGAAATGGTTAATACTACTGTTGCTCTCAATTTCGGTTCAAGGAGGTCCTCCGGAAAATAAAAGTATTTCCATTTATTCCCATTGCATATTTTTTTTTACAAGAGATACACCCATTATTCCAGGTTGCATAGCTTGTGTGATGATAAGAAATAATCATGGACAGCACACAGGTCACCAGTGTCATCGTGACGATGAAATAGCAGTAAGCGGAAATTCCGAAACTTTTGAAAATAAATATCCGCAATGCGTGCCAGATCAGTATGAGATAACACGTAAGTCTAAAGTGGAATAGATGTATTCCTCTGCAAGTCACTTGGACACTTCTGTTTCAGGGAAAATCAACGAATACTGCTGCTTTTGGTCACCGGAATTGGGCTGCTCAATACTTTTTGATAGGGAATCTTTTGACGGACCTTCTAAGGCCTGCAGTCGATGTCGAGCATATTGCATTGCTCCAGATGACCACGATGACGACAACGGAAGGTATACGAATTCCGGACACATGATAGCGAAAGACTGGTCGTTATTTTTTCTATTTTTTACTTTAACAATTTTTGGCACAACTGCAATGTTTAATTGGATTGTAATGCAACAAGTAGTTATACTTATATTGGGATAATATTATACATATACCATATTAATTGTACTGTAAGACCAATGTTTTAGTGATACAGATAGCAAGAATTGAAAACGTTCATTTAAAACATTTACCTTTGGACTGTAAAAATAAAAATATTTGTCAATTATAAGGTTATTTTTTAATGTTTACTTTTTGATGCCAATTGCTGGTTAGGCAAAAATGTTTTTTCTTTATTCCCTGAGTTCTGAAGGCACTATTATTTCATTGTTTTTCGAAAGGATTTATGTACAACAAAAGTAAGTTAGGTAAAGCCATAAGAAACAACTTTAGTTCATTAAATTTCTCAAAATTACAGCCCTGAAAACGAAATGGTTTAAAATGTTACACATTGTTCTATTGCAGATGTTCCGTTGGTGAACCAAAAATTTCAAAATGGTTCTTATGGAATTATTTAATTTGTTTACAAATACTCAAAGTTCATTTTTGTATGAATGGGCAACTTTAAAAACCAAATAACTATTAACTGTTTAAATTTACTACTGCAATTTTTATTATCTTATACATCGATTGGTGCCTTTAAACACATGTTCAGCAAGTGAGAAGATCGTGTGGATAGCGTTTTTGCTGTGCTAATGTAAGAGACTCAATTTTCTTTATAATTTCATTAGCATCTTGATGAGAACTGAAAACGATTCCACGCGTGCCTGACACACACAAGCACACATCGAGCAGGAAATTCTAGGCTAATGCTAATGAGGCCATAATACAAATTGCTTAAATTGAAATTATGCAAAAAAGTTAATACTCCCCACATCAAATTCACGAGGATATGACGGAAACAAGAAGGAGGCAATTTTGTTGGGCTTGACACCAACAGCTGGAAAAGAAACCCGACAGCATTTTCCTGAAACTTTCAATGTAAATAAATTACGTATACACCATGGGATACTCAGAAAATATTTTTTAATTTTACCCAATCGGGTAGAGGGTCTGAATATTTACCTATATTTTATAAAATCTGTGCAATACAACAATTTTTAAACACCTCAAAACTAGAACAAATTTTTGATTAGTTATTTTTGCATTTCCTGTCAAAACATCTCAAATTATGATTTGGGCAAAACATTGTTGCTTCTGCATTTCTTTACAAACGGGATGTATTTTGATTGCACTGCTTGTAATATTATTGTCTGGAATGAACATTGACTATGTTCTACATCTTTTAAACAGTAAATAAATACCAATATACACTATTTTATTTTGTATGATTCTATTAATTTATATATTATAAATAATACTATATTATGTCAATAAAATAATATTGCTTTTATAGGAACCCATATCCGAGAAAACCAATATAAATTTCCAGGTAACATAAAAAACTGTCTTAAGAATTCAATTGTTTTCATTTGGTTTGTATTGTTTCTAACATTTAGCACAAGTACTATACACTTCTCTACAACTTATTCCAGATTGTTTGTCTGTCGTGGCTTCGTTTTTGCTGTTATTTGCAGTTATTTCGGTATGTAGCATAGGAAGTTATAGCCACTTGTTAACGAATTTTTAAATATTTAGCAATATTTATGGCTGTTTTGGACCTGTTTGTTTTTCCAAGCGGTTATGGCAATGTTTCTTGGTAATATTTAGTATTGTTTCATCATCATCCGGATCCAATTTAATAATAAATGAGAGCATTTGGCATAATGTAACCTATTGGATGTACGTGGTACTTTGGCTGGGTAATATAATTCGTGTTCATATGTGAATACATCTAAAATTTTCTCTATTTTAGCTTTGACATCGTATTCCATGTACTTAACCTACTCGTACTACCGACAACTAAAAGAGAAAGAAACTGAAAATGCTTTGGAATGATTTATGTCCTTAAAGATTAAATATTTTAGTTGGCTAACAACTAATTTGTAAAACTTAATAAGACATAACTAAATTGTAAACTGTATGCCATTGGATTTATCGTCATTTTTACTCAAGCGTTTGTATCCGTTTATGTGAAAATGACGATAAATAAATATTATTAAAATAAAAATGTAAATTAAAAACAATCGGTGAATGAAATGTGGTCACCCAAGAAGTTCTGCTGTTGTATAAGCTTACGAACCGGCTACATAATCATATCATTTTTTACTCTTTGCCTGTGTACCGCTCACCAGGTGGAATTCTTTCGTAAATATCCCATCATTACTTTTATAAAAATTGTTTTATGGTTATAAATAGTATTTTTGTTATCATATTTATTGCAGGTTTGAAGGAACATCATGACTATGTGTATCCATCAGGTAATATATTTATTTTGTTTTATTTGAAAATTGTTTAGGCCAGCTTTGCTAACCCACCAATAATGTTTTATTTTCTATTTATTTTTTCGATGATTATCAGACTGGCTTAATCTTATGTGGGTAATTTTACATTTGCTGGCCTCTATGTGCTTATCTTATTCAATGTTGGTGGTAAGTGCAAAGAAGAAACATATTCGACTAGAAAATTCTTAAAATCTTGTAATTTAGGAGAGCGCACTCCTTTCCATTTTGGTTTACCTAATTATCGAGATAATTTACTTGATGTACGTGATCATTTATGCGTCGGTATCCTGTGCTCTAAGGACAAATACATATGCAAACCAAGGACTGGGGTACTGTATTACTTTCTGGGTTCTGGTAGTCTTAACTTGCGGTGAGATGGACACTAAAAACGAGGACCAGATATGTTAATCTTGAAACTCTTTTTATAGTGATCACGACTTATTTCCTCTACATTATAAGCTCATATTATATACTAAGGAGGCAACAACGTATTGCAAGTCATCAAGTACAACAAAATCTAACAAATTAAATATAAAATCTATTTCGTGTTATTTAGGGTCTTGTTTTGTGCTTTTTATTAAAATAAAAGTTTAGCGTTTATAGATGTGAGCGGCCTTGATAGATTTTTAAGAGCCAGCCAGCACATCTTTTTAAGAATATAGTTTTCTAGTTTTCTTAAAAATTAAATCTACCATTATCTTAGTTAAATGCTCAAGAGAAGTGTGATTTATTCTGATTCAAACACAGAATCTAAAATCTCATTATTTATTTAAAAGATGTATCGGAAAAGACAGCTTTTTGTTTAAACACAAAGCTTATCCTTCTTTTTCGAATGCTAATAAAAGTTTATTATTTTTAAAAAATTTTTTTTTTGAGATGTTTTTCAAAAACCAAGTTTTTAACTTTAGTATTTTTGTATGTCAGAAATTTCGAAGCCGTTTGTCAAAGAACTTTCAAATTGGAAATTATTCTTAAGTAGGCAGAGGCTAATTATTCAAAACTTGTTCATAGAATTTATAAAAATATAGCACAATGAAATTTTTTTCAGTAATACTATTCATTCCATTGGTTCTGGGATCTACTGACCCGTCACCAAGAGATAGCCCGAAATTCAGTATGGGTAAATTAATAAGATCTTACAGAGTCAAATTCAGGGTATTAACATTTTGTTGCAAAGCTCATGCGGAATTACCATTTCCAATCTGTGGGAATTGTTCAAAGATAAGAGACTTTCAAGGCAATACTGGTTTCGCCTGCCATTACGAAGATGATCAAAAAGTTGTACAAAAGTTTGGAACCCCAACCAATAATTTTCCGGATTGTCTGCCAGAGACGTACATGCTAACTGGTGAGTTCCCTTTAAAATTATAATATTGGGTTGCAGCCTTGACCTTCCCAAAATAGGTGACATAAACTACTTGTGCTGCTTTTGGTCGCCGGAATTGGGATGCACGGCGCTCATTGGTAGACAACTCCATGATACAAATCATGACTACTGCGACACGTGCAAACATAATTGCACCGGAGTAAAGAATGCTGATTCCGCCGGAAACAATAAGATACCAGGCTACGGATATTTAATTTCCCTCGTTTGTTTGGCATTCCGGATATGTTAAAATAAATTATTAGTAGTTCCAAAGTCATGTTTAATTTTAAACTTTTAACTGCTCTGTAATTTAAAATCCATTTCTAATTTATTTAGTGAGTAAACCAAAGCTGCAGAAAGTTCGACTTGGAAATAAACAATTTAAACAAGAAGTAACGCTTTAGAAGAGTGCCATAACTATCAACCATTACCCCATTACTTTGTTAACCAATTTCAAAACAAATGTTGGTGCCGTAAACAAACTATAACTTTTGAAGTAATAGTTCGATTCGGAAATTTGTTTGGTTTGTCGATGGATATAGAATATATATTCGTGTATCTACAGAGTTTCCCGGGATCTCGGCGTTTAAACTGTGACCCAGTTTAAGAATTTGCATATTTACTTTGTAGGGTCGGTAACGCTTCTTACTTTTATATAAATTGCCTTTGACACCTAGGTACACAAAGTTATTCCTCTCAAAATTTGTCGATAATATTTTCCAAATTTGCTTAAATGAAATTTTTAATACTGCTGTTATTGTCAATTTTGGTTCAAGGACAACCACCATATAACGATAGTATGCGCATTTAACTTACTTATTTTGGGCATAAGACCCCATACTCATTATTCCAGGTTGTGTAGCTTGTTTGTTCATAGGAAATAAACATGGACAGCACACAGGTCACCAGTGTCATAATGAAGATGAAATAGCAGTGAGCGGAAATTCCGAAAATTCACAAAATTTATTTCCGAATTGCGTGCCAAATGAGTATGAGATAACACGTAGGTTTGGATAATATTTATATATGTTCTTTATCAGAACCTTGAAACTCATGTTTCAGGAAAAATCAATGAATACTGCTGCTTTTGGTCACCGGAATTGGGCTGTTCAATACTTTTTGATAGTGAAGCGTTTGATGATTATAAGGCCTGCATTCGATGTCGGGAGTATTGCCTTGCGCCAGATAGTCATGATGACGATAACGCAAGGTTTTACAATTCAGGACCAATTATAGCAACAGACTTTACTTTACTTTTCCTTTTTGTCACTTCAACAATATTTGACACAAGTGGATTGTTTTAATGAGCTGTTATTCCTTGAACAGTTCTAGGTCTATATTGAAAGTGTTCATTATTCTGAATTTCGGTGAAATGAACATCTCCGATAAATCAAGGTATGCGCATTTAATCTATTTCAGTTATGATTACCCAATATTTTGGGTTGTAAAAGTTTTATGGTAGGAAATGGATCAAACTGGTTACTAGTGTCATAATCATTCAGCATTTAGAGGCAAATCCTTAATTTTAATTGATTTAAACAATTTCAGCGGGATTGACTTAGTACTTTTTGGTAAAAATGGTGGTGCAGTATTTAATAGGGGCTACAGTCAGTAGTGGAGTTTTGCACTTTCCTGTTTTAATTTTGATCAATTTATGGTATTTAATATGTTTCAATAGCTATTACCATGCCTAGTTCTAGGTTTCTATTGAAATTAAATTATCGGCTGTTAAAGCTCGTAATTATTTTATAGTTTTATAATTCAGATAATTCATAATTCAGATAAGCCCACCTTTCTTCTACAAACAAAAATCCATTCTAGTTTTAATCAAATTTCCTTACATACCGATATCGCAGAGACAATTCATTGATATAAATTTAAATGAGAATGTTAATTCAGCTTTTAGTTTTTATATTATTGCTTTTTAATCTTAATAAATACTATTTGTTTATATAATGATTCAAGTTCGAATAGTTCAATTTCCAATTTCGATGTAACCCCGACTTATATCTTACAAACCAAAATTATATGTTAATCTAATTTCCAAGTTGGAAATGAGAAATCTTTCAAAATTGTAACGCTGCTGTCATCGAAATATATTAAAAAAAGAATGTTAGTTCAGCAATTAGTTATTTTAATATTATTATTGCTTTATAATCAAAGTAAGTACTTTTTAATTACATAATTTTGTGATTATTGGACATACTTTTATCCGACAATTTAATTTATTCAAAATTAGCAACCGCTATGTATAGTTGTGCAGAATGCTCGGCGATAGAAGAAAATGTTGGATTTGATTGCCATCCAGATGATAGAAAATTTGTTTCCGTAAGAAATAGTCAAAATGAAAGTGCGTATCCGAATTGCGTACCAAATCGCTATGAGATAACCAGTAAGTCAAGATTGCAAAACCATGTCATTATTAGCAAATCTTATAGATACTAAAATATACTAAATAGGTCCTATACAACATTACTGCTGCTTTTGGTCGCCGGAATTGGGATGTTCAATACTACTCGGTAAAAGGCAGCTTACGTATAAAGTAGCATGCACTCAGTGCGAAGATTGTCCAGGAAGATGGAGTGGCGCAAAGAATACGATTCTTGGACATAAATTCTTAACAGGACTTTGGCCGATTGTCATTGTTTTAATTGACCTTCAGAACTAAGGTCTTGTAAGAAGTTATTCCTAATAATTACAGTCTGCAAATTCAAAGTACAAACTCTACTTAAATTTGACTTTTGACTTTTCAACTTATCCCACTTAACGGACACAAGTTAATCAAAAATTAATAGTAAAAGTAACTGGTTTGCCATCATTATTATTGTTATCATTATGAACTGTGCGAGAGCGGGGTAAATTTAATTAAAACAACAAACGCGCGGTTGGCCAAAGAAAGCAGCCGTCGGGTGGAAATTGGAAGTGAAAGTGGAAGTGGAAGTGGAAATGGGCAGAGCCTGATGTTATCGTGACAAGCCCAAATTAAGTAGCGCACGGGGTTACATCAGCCAGCCAGGGGATAAGAGGGAGGAGGGGGGATCGGCGAGGAATCGGGGTTGGGCAATTCAATTTAAAGACCAAACCAAGGCAACCAGTGAAAGCGAATGTGGCCCTGAGCTGGCCAAAATATGAATGGCAACCGAGCCCGAGGCTCATTTAATAGACCAAAACCAACACCAGAAATTAAAATACAATCGACATTCGCTATGTCGCACCATCGCGATGCATCGCAACCAAGTTTAAGGTTATAAAATCCTTTTTATTAAGCATTTGGAATATTTGTAAAGAGGAATGACAGAAATAAATATTGAACTATTTTTACTCAAAAACTAAACAAATAAAAAAATTTTGTACATAAATAAAACAAAATAATAATACAAAAAACCTTTAAAAAAAAATTTCAGAAAAAAAAACATTAAAATTATTTCTAGGCACCGAAAAGTAGGCAATGATTTTTACGAACTATGCATAGCTACATATACATATATGATTGAATGTCCCTTATCTCTAATAGTTTCATACGAAGAGGATCCACCTTTAAGCCTAAAATCCAATTTAATCAAAAACTTTACTGAATAAGGTTAAAATGTTGCCCATTAACCTTTTAAATTGCCGTTTTCATTTCGTTTTTGATGGTAAACAATCTTTTTCTATAAAGCTATTAATCATAAATGTTCTTTTTTGGATGTTCCACTGTGTACAGAATGCTCCCTTTGTGAAAACAAATTTGATTTGAAGAAGCTTTCCCATTCAAGGATTAACAGGGACTTTCACACTCACCCGTGGTTCCATTTTCCTCGCTCAAATCGGCCAAAGACGCCGAAAGGGCCTCCGCCATCCTTGCCGCCGATGACGTCATCGTCTTGGGCTGCGTTGCATTTCCGCCGACTTGAACAATCAGATTCGTTGCATTTGTGCCGTTCTCCGTTTTCGCAGATTCCGCATTGCGATTTACCATGGCGATAATCGGTGGGCGGGAAGGCAGTGGCACTCCTCACAGCCGCCAGCTGCGCGTCCTGATTGCCCCTTCCTCGCTGGAGGTCCTTCTGATTTCTGTTCCTGGGGATCCAACACTTGTTGCCGCCCAGCTTCCTTCCGTGCGGAAATGGAAATGGAGAGCGCAAGCTGAAGCGATAGAGAACGGAAAACGAGAGTTTTGGTTCAGTTCGAGTGCTTTCCTTCCGAAAAATAAACGCAGTTGTGTTTATTACAATGATAAATCAATTTGTATTTATAAAATTATTTAAATAACATAAGGGCACAGATTATTCGTAATAAAACATGTACCCAGAAAAGAAAATTACTTAAAAAGTTGCTTCAAAAATTAGCTTAAATTTTGGAATAACCCAAATGATAGGCTTATTCTCAAATATTTTAAGAAGAAATACCTAAAGAGCCATTTTTGAAATAAATGTTAAATTATGTCATTTCATAAGTTGTATTTAAATACTGCTTTTAATTATTGTATTTAAATACTGATTTTAATTACTTAAAAACAAATATTAATCCTAATAAAACCAATAGGTTAAACACAGTCCTTAGTTATTTTTGATTATAGCACAAAGTCTGTGCAAGTAGAGAAAATTAAAGAAATTAATTTTATCACCTCGCTACGAAATTTAATATATAGAAGGCGGTAAAATAAAGATATTTCTTTAATAAGATATTGCCAAAATAATGATTTACCATATTTTAAGCTAAGGCCATTTAAGTATTGTAAACAATTTCAAAAGTTGTCCCGTTCCGATTTCTATAAATCTCAGTTGCTTACTTTACTGTTTGCAATATAAACTCAAAAAGAAATTCAAGTTGCAGGCAGTAGCTACATGTGACAGCTTCGAACTTATTGTTCATTTTGTTTGATGTTGTTAAATGTTGTTCCTAGACCCAGCATTTCCACGTCGCTCTTCGTGGCAGTTGTTTGTTCAAAGAAATCGTATGTGTCTCTGTATGTAAATGTGTTTTGCTTTTGTGGGGTTCGCTTGAAAGTGTCTGTGCAGCAATTAGAAAAGTTCTCAGCCAACGCACTTGAGAACGCAACAAAAGTAACTTTTTCTTCAACCCAGCTGGAGAAGATAATATTACACTATAAAGGAAGTGTAAAACTTAAAAACTGTGTGGTATTTAAGCTAGCTCTAAAAAATTAAATAAACAACTTCCGCTCAGTTATTTATTTAATTTTTTTAAAGTTCTCAAATATAAACAACTCATTAGCTATCTTTCCAAAATTTTAAAAATAGTTTAAATAAAAGAAAGTAGTTTTGTATCAACAACATTTTGTACAGTGCGCTATAAGATCAAAGGAATAAAAAATCGATTTTTTAAGGACTTTAATAAAATTGAAAGCATACTATTTTAAGAATGAATATTTGTAAGTCTTCTGAGCACTGTGCAACAAATGTCAGTATGTCAAGACGACTCGGTAGAAGTTCTCGCATATCCTAAAGGCATGCGACATGCGACACTCCCCTCCACCCCTCGTCCTTCCCTTTCCCCGTTTTCCATTGGGAAAGTTTTTTCTGCTTTTGTCAAGCTACCAAACTAACTACACTTTGGCGCCTCCGTTGTTCATTCAAGTTGGTAAAAGTTTCTGCTACTCAAAATTGCTCAACGTTTTTGCTTCGCAGTTTACGGTTGCATCTTTTGGCCAAGTTAAAGTGTGTCAGTTAATTTAAAGTGGAGCGAAAATAAACTCCGGATTGCCGAAACCAAAAAAGAATTACATTTCTTCACTGAATTAACTTTCAGTAATTGACAAATACTCTGCAATAATTGATTTCTTTAAAAATAAATGGATAAAAATTATAAATATGTAATCAGAGAAATATTGTATACAAAAGTCGGACATTGATTATTTTTTAGTCGTCAAACGGAAGTTAATAATTAATAATATTTTCAAAAATTACTTTAAGTAGAACAGAAAGGTTTGTATACACTTTTTAATGGATTAACAAGTGTTTAGATGCACACAAAACATACTTATTGTAATATTACCTTATTACACATTTTCTTTTTATGCTTATAAAAATTAACCCATTTGATTATTTTAAATGCTAGTAGTATTTAGTATGACATTCCATTCTTTTGACAAATAATGACTTAAATATTTTAATTTAATATTATCTCATTTAATGTCACCTTGTCACCAGAATTATAAATTGCTTAAACTTAGATTTAATTTAAACTAATATGTTGATGACAGTTACAAAAAATAAAATATTTTATAACAATGCCTTTATATACTTAATTGTGAATTGTTTACAGTTGTTTTCATGGAAATCCATTTTCATTTCGTTTAAAAGAACCAATCAGACCCTTTTATATCCATTTCACAGATCGCAGTTTGCAGAGACTACTTCTCTAATTCGTTAGCTACTTTCATTTAATTTGGCCTTGCCCAAAGACCTTAGATGGGGCATATAATAGCGCCACTGATAAGCCTCAAGTCCAACCCACATTCATTGTCATTTTCACCTCAGTCTCATTTTTATTTCGCTGTGGACACTTGTGGAATTTCGCATTTGTAAGCGGGCAGCCAGGGAAAAAGGCGACCACGCGTTTGACCCCTGAACACAGAACAGAAAAACTACTCATAAATAAATATACGGAGATCCATTGTTGTTCAGCCGCATTTTACCGGGCTCGGTTGGGTTCTCATTTCTTTTTTGAATTGTTTTGTTTGGCTCTGCTCGCCGGTTCGTGTGTTCGCTTTTTGTTTTCCCTTTTTTTTTTATATTTAAGAGGGTTTGTTTACGCTTTGCCATCGCCGATAGGGGTGCTTCAGTTCAGTGCAGCAGTGGTGGAAAAACAGAGAGAAAAGCAAATAAATAAACAAAAACGTTTTGCAGTCTGCTTAAATTCAAATAAAGATTAGGTTCAAGTTTGTTTATGATTTTGCAAATGTTCAATTGCAGTTGGTTCAACTCTACAATACTTCTGTTGTTTGGGAAGTTTTCTTTTTTGTCTGCACAATTATTATTAGTTTCGGACATTCTATGCATTACTTTTGTTTATTTTGAACAGAAATATAACGAAACTGGTAAGACAAATACGCGTTTTTCTAAATGGCTTAAATTCGGTTGAAGTGTACTTGTGAATTTGTTTATATTTCATGGTATAAACCTTTTTTTCTTTTGTGTTTTTAGTTTCATCTTAGTTTATGATCATTGCTTAAATTATTATTTCAATGAGAGAAACAAGATCGATAAGATTAAGAAAAAAAATAATTGTACAAATATGAACACAATATATATATTATCAAAAAAATGTTAAAGCGTTTATCAATTAAAGGCATATTTCTTCATAAGAAATTCCTACGACCGAATAATGTTTTTTTTTAAACTATTAGAGTAAACTATTTGAGCTTTCCTTTACCATTTTGTAAACAAACTTTACTCAAATGATTTTTCCACAAGTCTTTAGCACCCTGCATCTAATTTTCCTGAGTAAACATTTTATAAATTATCTGCAGTTTAGCCATAAGCCATAAATATAGCCGTGTAATGTGCATTTCCTTGAAAATCTGCATTGCCATATTTTTATAGCTAGCCGGCGAACGTGGCGGATGAGCAATCTCATTCGCACTTGCCACTATTTCGCTTCGTTCTCTGGAGAATGCACTCAAAGCGAGGGCGTAGCTTTCTCGTCGGCCAATTATTATAATTTTTGCACTTAACTTATTATCATAATTATCATCTTTTGAATTGGTGAGGCAACAGACTAGAAACAACGGACACTCATAAATTTTCCCCCTTTTTTGTTTCTATTTGAG